CGAAATCCGGTTTCTAGCGTTGTAAGTCCGAAGACATACCGCTGTGCCACTGAGGGGCCACAATTCTGATTTGCGTATGCTAACAAGTCCCTTAATAGGTTTTTCAAACCAAAACAAAATAATTTCACGTCGCATGAAAAGAGTTATTGACGGACTTATCTTGATTAATAACCTCAAGTTGTATTCCACTAACTCGAGAAAACTAAACGAAAATCAGGATTTGATGTAAAAATGTGATTTATATATGTATACAATACTTTTATGTATATATTAACTTTTTCTGAGATCATTAGAAAACATATGCATATTTTTACTAGTCATAGAATCTAGATACAGAACTTTGGAAAGGGGAGGAAGTCCAATTCGTGGACCAGAATATGAGCGTTATATGTGATATACAGTTCTAGTTGTAATGGTACACGCAGTTCCTTAGTAATATGTTAGTCAACATTGTAACTCATTCATGATTGTTTTAAAAATAAGTTTAATAATAATAAAACATATACCTTTCCAATTTTAATTAAAGATATAAAATAATTATTGATTATTTTAGAACTTCGCGACCTGAGTTACAAAGTTTTCCCGTTTGCTTTTCTCTGCTCTGGGTTAAAAAAAAAAAGGGGGGGGGGTAGTCTGTTATTATATTTTACACTTCTTCCATTAAATGGACCTGCTTACGAGTATTGAAAATAAAAAGAAGGAAACAACCATGAACAGCTTTTATCACCACTTAACTATGGCAACTTTTTATTGACATAGTTTAGGGCTTACGACCTCAAATAAAGGTAGAGTGACATCACTTATTACAGACCAGGTTCATTTTATGATAAACACTTTATTCTCAAATGGAGCTGGCTTCTTTCAAGAAGACAATTCATCAACTCACACTGCTGAAATTATGAAAGATTAACTCATAAAACATTCATCAACTCATACTGCTGAAATTATTAGCTCATGGAACATTCATCAACTCATACTGCTGAAATTATTAAATATTAGCTCATAGAAAATTCATCAACTCATACTGCTGAAATTATTAAAGATTAGCTCATAGAAAATTCATCAACTCATACTGCTGAAATTATTAAATATTAGCTCATAGAAAATTCATCAACTCATACTGCTGAAATTATTAAAGATTAGCTCATAGAATATTCATCAACTCATACTGCTGAAATTATTAAAGATTAGCTCATAGAATATTCATCAACTCATACTGGCTGAAATTATTAAAGATTAGCTCATAGAACATGAGGAAGAATTTGGTTTGTTTGTTTGTTTTGAATTTCCGTAAAGCTACACAAGGGATATCTGCGCTAGCTGTCTTTAATTTAACAGTAAAAGACTAGAGAAAAGGCAGCTAGTCATCACCATCTACCGTCAACTTTGGGGATACTCTTTTACGAACGAATAGTGGGACTGACCGAAACATTATAACGCCCTCACAGCTGAAAGGGTGAGCATGTTTAGTGGGACGGGAATTCGAATACCGACCCTCAGATTGCGAGTCAAGAACTTGGACACCTAACATTGGTCACCATAGCCACCAGGTACAAATGTTATCGAGTTTCTGTGGTAATTTTTTGAAACTAGTAAAAAGTAAATTTTTTATCAAATGTTTAATATATATATTTTGGGTTCACATTTGTTTGTTGTTAAGCGCAATGGACTATCTATGCTGTGCTCAAACAGGGATCGAATCTTGAATTTTAGCCATCAAGTTTACCGCTGAGATATCGGGAAGGGATATTTTAGTTCAAATAATCTTTCGTGATCTGAATGAATCCTGCTGTTTCAACATAAAATAACATATTGATGTGTCTTTTTTTACAACTGATACGAATACATGAGTCAAATGTGATGTGAAAGGGAAAATGATTTTAAGGTAATTCCTAGAATCAACTCTGTTATTTGTAGTTTGACTCTTATTTACCGGCTATGTCCGTATACGATTAGCCATTATCTATGACTCCAGTTACTTTGTTTCCCATTATGAACATTAAGTCATTTCTTTACCAGAAAACTTATATTTTCGTATACTAAGTCGGATTTAATTCGTGTTAAGGAATGTGTATTTCGAAGCTATATCGCCTTTTTCTCGCTCTAAGCTCCACACTTGTACATTTATTTTAACATAACAAACTTCATTTCAGATATCTGAATGGGATATGTCAGTAATAATAAATAATACAGTTTAATAAAAAGGCATATTTGTACATAAAA